ACTGCACCACCACCACCACCACCAACCACGAATGCTCCACAACCATCACCAACCACTTCAAATAATGTAAATGGCATATAATAAAAAAGAAAGATTTGGAAGTGTTTACTCAAGACTCTGTAAAAGATATAAGGGATCCAGAAAAAATAATAACCGTTCATAATCATTAATAATTAAGCAGTGTACATTTCTCATGACATGTTCATTCGCCTTACCGAAGTCTTAAAAATGGTAACGAGCTCGCGGCTAGGGTTTTAATTTCTTTATAACGTCGCAGTTGCTCGGATGATAACGTAATATGGCGCGCGTTCCGGTCTCATTCAGAAACGTTAAAAAAGAGGGCAACAAATATATCAGTTGCGGCTTTCGAAAAAATCGATTTATGTATTTTATTTTTAGCTTTCCCGTAGTAAGCCCCATAATGCATTGCTGCTTATGCTCGTTACCAGTCTCCCTTTAAACTTCGGAAAGGCGAAACACACTATGATTGCAAACCAAGGTTCTGTGTGAAGGTTAAACTTTGCAAGGCAACAGACACCTTTCATAATCATCTTTGATGCGATTATAAGAGGATCACGAGAAATCACACTTTCTTTCGATTGAATTTGTCACGTTTTTGTTGTATTTATGTTGTACGCCGATTCAGTAAGGGGTCCGCTAACTCAGGATTCTCATTAGCCACTCCGAGGTTGAGGAGAAAACTGGGTTCAGTTGGCACTGCAGTGCATTGTGGGGCAGTTTTTAGGGGACGAAATGGACGTCATCTTGGAACTATATCCCCTAAAGCAGTCCCACAATGCACTGCAATACCATCTCGACCACGTCCCCCCCGGAATGGCTTATAACAAGCCTTCACACACACATTATTTTCTTTTTCTTTGTCACGTGACCTATCACTGAAAACAAGTTGTCAGTGTCCAGCGGTTGTTGGAACGAATTTTGAAAAACCCGCGCCTCCTTTTGTTAGACATTTGAACAAAACGATATGTATGGCATTATTCAAAGTTGATTAAAAGTCAGTTAAAAACCAATCTTTTGCTCATTATATAGTGCTTTATTGCTTCCGGAAATGATGGTTTGCATCCTTCTTCAAGAGTGTTAAATGAAATGAAGGCTGGTGATATTGACAAAGGAAGTCCATGAGGAACCATTTGTTGAATACCACCAACATAAAGATGCAATGTTCAAATGTAAAAAGTCTGACCTTTGAACTTTCGCGACTTGAACTTTGACCTTGCTCGGGGGTCGTAATCAATATTAACACTATTGGCAACCTTTCAACTAAAAGCCTCCTCTTTTTTCAACATTTGGACCTATCTACCAGATATTTGCTTTTTATATTTATATCAGTGTAGTACTCTGACCTTTGACCTGGGGCAATCCTAACTCTTTCCAGGTGATCTGGAGGAACGCGCGCAAAGGATTATTGTAGTTGATCAGGCGGTCCTAGTTTCAGTTGTTTATCGGCGAACAAAGAGCTATCATTTCACGATCATTTCATAACAGAATTGAAACCACAACGCACCATTTGACCCAAAGGTATTCGTTATAAGAATAGGTAGAATTTTTAATGTATTGCTAGTCCATGACGTAGCTAGGGAAGTAAGGATTCGGAAAAAAAAAATTCTGACTTCGGTCGCCATGTTTTTTTTCGATGGACCGCCTGATCAGTTTTCTTCCTACGCGATGATTGGCTGGTTTTTGATGGGCTGTCAAAACGAGATCACCTGGTTAGATCTACCGTTCAATCTTCAACCATTCGATTTTTCTCTGACCTCAAATTATCCCCCCGTCTCATGTCAATAATCTTTGGCCTTGGGGCTGCTTTGGTCTCCAGTCTTGCTGGTACTGCTCAAGGATTTTTCTGGATGGATCTCGATGACCTCGAGACGTCCAATGTCACCAGTCTAATCTGGGTCCTATGATTTGGCCTTTTTTGACCGCTGACCAAGGATTTTCCGTGTTACTCACTATATTAATTGAACCTAGATGACTTTAGACATCAAAACGTCCAATGTTTGTCTGGGTGCTATAATTCGACCTTTGTGACCGCTGACAAAAGGATTTCCCTCGTTATTCATCATGTACTTTGAACCTCGATGACCTTTGATTACAGGACGTCCCGTTTGTCCCAGTTTAGCTTCTGTGACCGCTGACCCAGAATTTCCCTCGTAATTCACATTATGTCTTTCCTAATTTAACTTTGACCCAAGGAACTCTAATGTCTCCATCAGTCTAAACTCTATGACTCTATAAACATTCACTGACTTGATTAATTTTTGTAATTATTCAAACAACAGGCCTTACTTCCCTGACCTTTGACCTTGGAAGTTTCTCGAAGATCAACAGCCCTGATGCTTTTTCAATTCGTTCAAGTGGAACTTGGAAATTGTTTAATGGTATTTTTTCATTGATTGGTTTGTTAGGAAGAATATAAGACTGAAAAAAAAAACAAGAGAAATGTTAGGTAATGGTGTTCGAATAGAATGAAGGGAGGGAAGGGAAATGAGATGGGAACAAGAGAACAGACAAGATGGAAGGAAATGAAAGGGAAAAGAATAGGAGGGGTAAGAAGAAAGGAAAATAGGAGACAGAAGAAAGAGAGAAGAGATAATGATGAAAATGAGATGAAAAATAGGGAACACRGTGGAAGAGGAATGAGATGGGATGAGAAGGGAATATAAGGAAGCGAATGTGATGGAAGTGGAAGAGAAGAGATATTCTCATATCTTCGCCTATCTACCTCATGTAAAGTAGCACATGACATAAGGTTTCAACACTCCTTTTCCAACCAGCTTTGTAGGTTGCTGGGGTATGCAATATATTCTCATATATATACACTTACCTGTATTTCAAATTGGTTTTGATATGACTCTGTAAGAATGACTTTAAAAAAGTGTGTTGGAACAGCAACATTGTTTTTCCCAATCACCTGGAAAGAGTATAGAAATGAATACATTTAAGTCCCATAATAGTGATGGATGATGATGGTTTAAAGGCCAACTCTCCTGTCTCAATCAAAATTGGGACCACAATTGAGACCCTTACTTGAACACATGGATATTCTACACAGAAATGTATAGAAGAGAAATAGTCCTTTAAGTCTACTGTTTTTCCATTTCATACCATGTATCATTCCTTTGGAGAGAATAAGATTCTTCGTTTCATGTGTCTTCTCATGTGCAACCATTATACCATTCGGGAAGCATGGGTGGCATAGCGGTGAGAGTGCTTGCCTCTCACCAATGCGACCCGGGTTCGAGTCCCTACAAGCTCGGTGTTGTATGTGAGTTGAGTTTGTTTGTTGGTTCTCTCCTGTGCTTTGAGGGCTTTCCGGGTTCTCCGGTTTTCCTCCCTCCGCAAAAACCAWCTTCTAAATTCCAATTCGATCTTGAGCTTTCACCTAGCATGGTTCTCAGGGTTCCCTTCGTGATTGTCCCACTCTGTGATTACAGACAAAACTGGTAGATTTTTTTATTTTCTATACAAAGAAATGATATATGAGAATGACATGTGAACTAAAAAGGGGAAACCATGTCATTGCATCACTATGAACATACCTTATATTTCACATACAAGTGTCCATCTTGTTCAAATCTGTACACGACATAAAGAAAGATCTCAAACAAGGGTAAAGAGACCCAACTTTAAGACATGAGAATCTTGAGAATCCTGTTTCCCATTTCACCGCCAACCGGTTGGCTCGGTTGAGCATCGGACTTTCATGCGGGAGGTTGTGGTTCAAGTCCCGGCCGGACCAACACTCAGGGTCTTAATAACTGAGGAGAAAGTGCTGCCTTTGTAATTACATCTGCAAATGGTTAGACTTTCAAGTGGCTTGGATGACCACTTTAAATGGCGGTCCCATCTCTCCACACTTACTAACCAACATCGGAGGGATGTAAAAGAACCACTGAGGACGTAAAGAAACCCTGGCAATGACCACCCTCAGTGCCTACACCTCATACTAACCATCTCTCATTCATAAATCATTGTAAAGTGCCTTTGAACGTATCCATATGGAAAAGAGATCTATATAAATATCATCMTCATCATCATCATCTTACTTGGGTAGGAATAATGGCCCAGTAAGAACAAAGACATTTTTGTAGGTTGTTGGAAGGTTACGGACATACTTCTCAAGGTTTTGCCACGCGTCTCTATTGAATCCTGATCCTGAATGATATAACATAGAATACAATCATTATAAAAAATGACAGGGGAAAAAAACTTAAACCAATCTATTATTTCATCTCATTCACCAAGCAATCTTGAACTCCTACTGTCCAGCCAATATTTGCATACAAATCCTTATAACAATTATTGATTTCATATTCAATTTTTGCATAGACAATTTTATGAGCTGAAACTTTGCCCTTTTCCTAAAATTAAGGTTATCTTTCATTTCTACATGTACTGTTTATTTTGACACAATTGCTTGTATAAAGAGGTAAAGGTCATGTGAGCTATTAGAGCAAATGTCCTATAGGGGGTAGTTTTCCCTACAGTAGAGGGGGTAAGAAGCATTTGTTTATCTCACCAACTTGTGGGCTGATGTTGCTAAGAAAAAAAGTCTGACAATTTACATCTTGAGAAAATCTGTGATTTGCCGAAGCTGCAAGGTGTCCTCTGTCGTAGCCAGTTTTCCTGCAGATTGATTGAGATACTATGATCTTAATATATAACATAATCATAGAGTTGCAGCATATTCATAGAGTTGCAGCTTGATTTCCTGACAGGAAACATAGTGCATTGTGGTCTAGCTTGGGTACAAACATCTGTAATCACTGTTTACGGAAGTGGGGGTTCAATGTTTGCATATTTTTTGTAACTGCATGCTTAAATTGTTTTATAGTTACTGTAGCTAATAATATGGCCATAACCCACTCTTGACAAACCTGAAATCATCATTTGTCGCTCTAAAAAGAGGATGAATTTCATGATCCTGCACAAAATCACACTTGGCTCTATCCGCTTCTTGGTTTCTAATGATATCTTTATTAAGATGCTGTCAATTCAAACAAAATATGATTGTCATAAAATTATTAAACCTTTCTAAGGAATCAATTTATCAACTCAATAACAACAAAAAATAATGGATTATTATAGAGCTAGATTTTTCTTGATCGTATCATGGTGGCCATTTTGGATGAAAGGAACAATAATTTCATGTGAGAATAGAGAAATTCAATTCCCTATAGTAAAGGGATTTAATTGTACTGCCATCTAACATGGCCGACATCATGTAGATGATTGTGATTTGTGACAAATATTTTCATAATATTAATAGGACTAATACATACTTCACAGACCCAGTTGGCTTGCCGCAGTCGTCTGTTATATGACAACACATAATTGTCCTTATATTTGATATTATCTAAACTTGGATACCCAAATCTCATTATTTCTCTTCTTCTTCTCTCTAAGTCTTCTTTTTGCAGTTTGGACTGTGCAGCTGGTATGCCAGGGCTAACATTTCTTCTGTTCTTCCCATCTGTTTCATCATATCCTTCAACCTTGGCGTGTAGCACTTGACCAAAACGATTGCGATTGTAGCTGCTGAACCGGTAGCCTTCTCTATAAAACATTTAAAACACTCATTAATAATTCATAAGCTTATGGTTGAATTGGAGCCACCATACACGTCA